CCCCCCCCAGCATGTCCTTGCGTGAGAATTAAAAAAAACACACAAAACATTCATTTTTTTTTGCCAAGTGGGTTGTCAAATGGCTAGTCACTTGGGGAACTTGGTAAAAATGTAGATTATTGGACACCACCCCAGAACTATTTATTTGCCTTTATAGATGTCTAGGAATGTGTGTTTTAATAGCCCCAACTGATTTGGATGTATGTTTAGGTTTGAGAACCATTGGGTAAAATACAGTTCATGGTCCTTACAGCAGTGGTTCTGAGAGTGTGGTACTCAAACCAGTAGCAGCATCACTCCTGATCATGTTACAAATGCAGATTTGTGAGCCCCACCCCACATCTGAATCAAAAACTGGGAGTAGGGCCCAGCAATCTGTTTTAGTAGCCCTCCAGTTGATTCTGATCACAGTAAAATTTGAGAACCATTGCTGAAAGGGCCCTATGACCTAGTCACTGCCAGCTCATGCCTTGTTTCTACTTCTTGCCTTAAACTTACCTCTTCAAAAACTTTTAATTTTTAAAGCCAGCTTAATTTCCGAGAAATCTTACCCAACTTCTCCAAGCTGGGTTAGGGGCTCCTGTTATTCCGTCCATACATTAATAGTAGTAGGTCACACTGGGTTGTCTGTGTCTCTAACACTCTTTAAACACAGGGGGTGAGTCTGTTTGTCTTATAACCTGTAATACTGTAATAGGCAAGAGTAGTAGCCCAGTATTTGTTAAATTAATTTTTCCTGTGTCCCTGTAGAAACCAGAACCAGGAAGAAGAACGGAGAGAAGGAAGTATTCCCACCTAAGGAGGCACCCCGGAAGGGGAAGAGAGGGCGGAAGCCCAGCAAGCCGCGACTGATTCCCAGACAGACATCTGGGGGTCCCATCTGCCCTGACTGTGGTTGTACCTTCCCTGATCATCCAGCCCTGAAAAGCCACAAGTGTGCCCAGAATCTAAAAAAGCCTTACCCTTGCCCAGACTGTGGGCGCCGCTTTTCCTACCCATCCCTGTTGGTCAGTCACCGGCGGGCACACTCCGGTGAATGTCCCTATGTTTGTGACCAATGTGGCAAACGTTTCTCGCAGCGTAAGAACCTCTCCCAGCACCAGGTTATCCACACAGGCGAGAAGCCCTACCATTGCCCAGACTGTGGCCGCTGCTTCCGTAGGAGTCGGTCCTTGGCCAATCACCGGACCACACATACAGGAGAAAAACCCCACCAGTGCCCTAGCTGTGGGCGACGCTTTGCCTACCCGTCCCTGCTAGCCATCCACCAGCGCACACACACAGGAGAGAAGCCCTACACTTGCCTGGAATGCAACCGCCGCTTCCGCCAGCGCACCGCTCTGGTCATCCACCAGCGCATCCACACGGGCGAGAAGCCCTACCCTTGTCCAGACTGTGAGCGGCGCTTCTCTTCGTCCTCTCGCCTGGTGAGCCACCGGCGAGTGCACTCTGGGGAGCGCCCCTACGCCTGCGAGCACTGCGAGGCCCGCTTCTCTCAGCGCAGCACTCTGCTCCAGCACCAGCTCTTGCACACGGGAGAGAAGCCCTACCCCTGCCCAGACTGTGGACGTGCCTTCCGCCGGAGCGGCTCGCTAGCCATACACCGCAGCACGCACACCGAGGAGAAGCTGCACGCGTGTGATGACTGTGGCCGCCGCTTTGCCTACCCCTCACTACTGGCCAGTCACCGGCGCGTCCACTCAGGCGAGCGGCCCTATGCTTGCGACCTGTGCTCTAAGCGCTTTGCCCAGTGGAGCCACCTGGCCCAGCACCAGCTCCTGCACACCGGGGAGAAGCCTTTCCCCTGCCTTGAGTGTGGCCGTTGCTTTCGCCAGAGGTGGTCTCTGGCTGTCCACAAGTGTAGCCCCAGGGTCCAAAACTGTAGCCCTAGATCTGCTATAGAGGGACCCAGTCAGAAGGGCAATGTTCTTTAGAATGGGAAGGACTGTCAAGTTCATTTCATTTCAGAGAGGCCCAGCGAAGGGAAGGAGAAGCCCCAGGTCATACAGGGCAGATTCAGAACTGAAACCCAGGTCTCCTACCATACAAACCTGAAATATATCCTACCACACTGGCTGCCTTACTCTGTCTAGAACAGATAGTCGCATTAGGAGAGTTAAAGTTTAATGAGCTATCCTATCCTAAAAGAATTCTGTTTGTGGCTGTCAGGGTAAAAGTTCTCCCCTTATATTCCAGGGGCTGTCTGCCTTTAATTTCCATATAGGGATTACCTGTCCCCTTGTAGGCAGTCAGGAGGATCCTATTTATAGCTGGCAGGATCTTCTACTCTGCCTCTTCCTCCATACCAGGTTTAAGCAAACCTAGGTTAGCCCCCTTTTTACAACACTCCTGCCAAGTGGTGTTCTACCCTTGCTTTAAAACCTCCCTTGACAGTGAGCTCACTACCTCACAAGGCAGGTCATTTCTTTGTGGGATAGCTATGATCTTTAGGAAGTGGTTAAGTGCCACATTCTCCTTCCCTGTAAGCCTTGCCCAGAATATGTCTAATACTTTCTCTACATGGCAGCCTTTCAGATAACTTAATCACAACTTCTTTGCCCCATGTTTTCAGATTAAACAACATTAATTTGGTCAATCATTTCTTACAAATAGGGTTCCAATTCCCACACATGATCACCCAACAGGTGCTGGTTTTTCAATGCCCCTTTTAAAGGGTCATACAAAAATAAGCCAGCACCACAGTGTACACTGTATACCTCCTTGGTCTGGTCTTGTTTTAACAGCTCTAGATTGCATTGGATTTGGGAGGAGTGGCAGTGCCAGGAGTTTATTGGGTTGCAGACACCCAAATACCTAAGCTTTTTTAAACCAAATGCTGTGAAGCTAAGTCTTCTGCACCCTGTGTTTGGAAAATTGGTTCAAGTTGGGTCTGGGACATAAGTGCAGTGAGCTTTGGGACAAGATTGTTCTTAAGGAAAAGCAGGGGAGGTATGGGTTAGCTGCAAGAAGTGAAAACAGGACCGGCTTGTTGTGCTTTATCTGGTGGGTTTGGAGCGTTCCTTACAACCAGTGGTTGGAAAATCCTAGGTCTCACTTTAGCACAGAACCTTCCATGAGTCCTCAGTCAACATTTTTTAATAAAATGAGGTGAGGCCATTTAAGGAGGGTAGACGTTAGGTGATTGCATACAAAGCAAAAAGTATACAGTCATCAAGTTGTGTTCATGCCCACCCCTCACATAAACTCCAGAAGGCAGCTATGTGTCTTAATCATGTTAAGCCTCCATGGCACCCACCCCTGAACAGGTTTACTGAATTGAATGAACAGGCCTATCACTGCCTTGGGTAGCTGCACCAAGTTGGAATTTACAAACCTGACTCGTCTCATTCCAACAGCTAAAAGGAGGCATCCTACCCTTGTATCTCCTGATCTCAGCCCCAGAGTGGGGGAGCAGCTGGGGAACACAGCTTTTGTAATTACCTCTGTTCTGGTGTTGAGCAAGTTGCATTATAACTGTTTCTCCTTGGGTGACGAGCTACCTTAAGGTAGGGGTCAGACCAGATTGGGTCTTATTAAAATGTCTGTTGAATGAATTATGTTCCTTGTGTAATTACTGTTTATAAAATGTAAATCAAGTTCCTTAACCAAGTAGAAAATTTTAAAGTTCTGATGGAGACCTGCCCTACCCTAGATGAGACCTATTAGATACCTGCCTAGCCCCCTGTTTTAGAACTGGCTCTTTTCCCTACTTTATCACCAGGACAAACCAACTATTTCTTTACCTAGGAATTTATAACTTTCTTTGGGCCTAACTGTAATTAATTAAAACTTGGGAGCCATTGGTGGCCAAGTTCCAGTATGTAGTCTACAGAGGTCAGAGATGAGAGACAACTTCCTACATTTCCTAAAGCACTTCAGTCCCAAGGTCTATTTGATGACCGGGCTGTATCCTTCCAGTCAATTTCCCCATCTGCTTTAGGTAGTTTAACTTGAGTTTCTGTTACTTGCAACCAAAAGAATTAACTAATACACAGCCCCAATATAGGTTAATCTCCCATCTGCCTTTATGCCTATGTATGAGCTATGAAGAAAAACTTCTGATCTCTTTTCTGATCTCCAACCTCAAACCTTCAGTATCACTTAAGTCTTCGATATATCTTGAGCCAGTGGGTACCTTCTCCTTCACTAAGGACATACAAGGTATTAAGTAGGAACTCCTTCCACATTCCCCAACCAACTCCAAATTGACTAGTGTGAGCACTCTTACTTGCTTCCATCCCACCTCAAGAAAGTCCCTCATGTCCTGGCCGGTGTGGCCCAGTTGGTTGAGTGTCATCCCATGCACTAAGAGGTCACTGGTTTGGTTCCACATCAGTGCAGATGCCAGGGTTGTGGGCTCAGTCCCCAGTAGGGGGCATGTAGGAGGCAGCCAATTGATTCTCTCATATCAATGTTTCTCCCTCTCTAAAGTCAATAAAAACATTAAAAAACAAAAACCCTCTCATGCAATGATCATGAACATAGCTGTGCCTGGATTTCATCAACTGCCCCCTCAGGCAGTTAATGAAACTATTAATTTTCTCCATCTATTAATTTTCTCTCTCCTCTTAGTTTTATTATTTCAGAGTCCCTCTTTTTTTAGAATACACCCTAGCCTACAAACATGCTAAAATCTATCTTTAAAAACAATAAAGAACTTCCCCTCTGGCCTCTGTCCCCATCTCCCATTTTCAGCTAAATTTCCTGAAGCAGTAGCCTGCATTAACTGCATCCATACTGTTTATTCTTTAGCCTACTGCAATAGTATTACAGCCACTCTGTCGAGCATTTATGATGTTCCATGCACTATGTTAGGCACTTATGAACATTCCAATCTAATTTTTACAAGAACCCCATAAAGTAGGTGTCAGGAGATGCTCTTCCATGGGTTTCTCATGTTGCTATGTATCTTGCTAAGTTGCCAAAAATGCAAGGCCCTGCCCTCAAATCCTCAGGCATTAGCCAATTCCAGACCTAGAGCCCCTCTGAATGAGGGGAGGCTTTGTCCTATTGATGAAGGACGGGGTTACATTGGCAGAAACATGCAGTCGATCTTCCTAGCCTTTTCCAAATGTATCTGCAATCATTCACCAGGGTGCCTGGGCACTGGAGAACTGGACATTGGATCTAAATTGATTCTAATTCTTGGAGGTCAGGTGTGTGCAGAAAAGAGCTAGCTCAGCAGACTGAGGTTGCTCAAACCCTGCACATCAAAAAAAAAAAGCTCCTCTTTAGGACTGGCATTCACTGTGGGAGATAAACTCTGAGCCCTTGGAATATTTTGTCAGAGTGTCTGATGGTGGAGGCCTTGAGCCATGCTACACCAGTCTGACCAGATAAGTGTGCCCTAACAATGTGACTTACAGTGAACGCCCGTGTCTGTTCTGGGGGACTGGGGTCTGAGTAGCTGAGGACAGTCATGTGGGCATTCCATGTCTATGTCACTGACTCCCAATAAAAATCCTGGGCAGCAAGGCTCAGGTGAGCGTCTCTGGTTGGCAACAATTTGTATATATTATCACAAATCATTGCTGAGAGAATTAAATGCATTCCTGCTCAACTCCCCTGGGAGAGAACGCCGGCAACTTTGCACCAGGTTTCTCTTGGACTTCGCCACAGGCGCCTTTTCCCTTTGCTGATTTTATCTGTATTCTTTTGCTTTAATCCACCCTAACCTTGAGTATAACAAAAACAAACAAAAGGCAAGGCCCTGGCCACTCTACCCAGCCATTTCTCAGGGTTGTGTTCGCAGCCAGCAGCCCTGAGGGAGAGGCAGTGTGTCTGTCTGGACAGAGGAGCGTGCTTGCCACTCACCGTAAAGCAGCAGGTTCCCCGAGCCCATTGTTCCTCCCCGCGCTGCAGCTCACCGTGCTCCGAGCATCCACGCGGCCCCTCCGGGCTGCCTTTGTGGAACTTAGGGGGCAAAAAGAACTAACGCATACATGACGCTCCGGGGGCTTGTTGAGCCGCGAATGAGACCTTTTGTCTCTGGCATAGCAGTCTCTTGTCTCCTGCCAGCACCCATGAAACAGTGACAGACTGACTTGCTAACTTCCAAGTAAGGTAACCTCAAATTGCATGCCCGATGGTAGGTATTATTTCCTTAAAATAGAGGGGGAAGCCAGGCTCAGTAATATAGTATTAAATAACTTGCCCAGGATCACATATCTAGTAAATCTAAGAGCTGGGATTCCAAGCCAGGTCTTACTCCAAAGCCACCAAAGCCAGCCAGCTGCTATACAACTGACTACTCCGCTGAACTGTCCTTTAAGATAACTGGTAACTTAGTTAACAAATCAATACTTTAGTTTTATCTTAATTACCTCAGTTTTCCTGTTTAACCTCTCTTGTAACTTAGCTTCCATGCGCGTATTCTTCTAATCTTCCTGAAGCCTCTGGGGCTTCCTTCTGTGTGTACATGTGGAATTCCTTCCAGCATTTCTTAAAAAATGTATGTTTCCCAGATCCCAAGAACGATCAGCCAAGAAATTGGAAAATGTTGCAAAACAATTAATGTGATACACACATAAATGAAGGATAAAAATCACGTGATAATATCAATAGATGAAGAAAAAGCATTCGACAAAGTCCAGCACCCTTTTATGATAAAAACTCTCAGCAAGGTGGGAATAGAGGGAGCATAATAAAGGCCATACACGACAAACCCACAGCTAACATTAACTCAATATGGAAAAACTAAAAGCATTTTCCTTAAGATCAGGAACAAGACAGGGGTGTCCACTTTCACCCTCTTATTCAACATAGTGCTAGAAGCCCCAGCCACAGTGATCAGGCAAAAAGAAGAAATAAAAGGCATCCAAACAGGAAAGGAAGAAGTAAAACTGTTCTTATTTGCAGTTGACATCATTCCACCAAAAAACCTAGAACTGATAAATTCAGTAAAGTATCAGGATACAAAATAAATATCTAGAAATCGGGTGAATTATAAAAAGTTATTTTTGTTAATCTTCACCCGGGGATATTTTTTCCATTGATTTTTAGAGACAATGGCAGGAAGGGAGGGAGGGGGGGAGAGAGAGAGAAAAAGAAAGAGAGAAACATTGATTGGTTGCCTCCTACACCCCCCACCACCTGGGCTGAGGATCAGACCTGCAACCCAGGTATGGGCCCTTGATGGGAATCAAACCCAAAACCCTTCAGGTTGAGGGTCACACTCTAACCACTGAGCCAGACCGGGCAGGGTTGGTTGCATTTTTATACACCAAAAATAAACTATCAGAAAGGGAAACTAAGAAAACAACCCCATTAACAATTGCATTTAAAAAAATACCTAGGAATAAATTTAACCAAAGAGGTAAAAGACCTGTAATTGGAAAATTATAAGACACTGAGGAAACAAATTGAAGAAGATACTATGCTCATGGATAGGAAGAATTAACGTTGTTAAAATGTCCATACTACCCAAAGCAATCTACAGATTCTACACAATTCCTATCAAAATACCAATGACGTATTTCAAGAACTATAACAAATAATCCAAAAATTTATATGGAACCACAAAAGACCCTGAATACAGCACAGCAATCTTGAGAAAGAAAAACAAGTTTAGAAGAATCATGCTACCTGATATCAAACTATACTACAAGCCATAGTAATCCAAACAGCATGGTACTGGCATAAAAACAGACACATAGATCAATGGAACAGAATACAGAGCCCAGAAATAAACCCATGACTATATGGTCAATTAATATATGACAAAGGAGGCAAGAGCATAAAATGGGGTAAAGACAGACTACTCAATAAACGATGTTGGGAAAATTGGACAAATATGCAAGAAAATGAAACTAGACCACCTTCTTACACCATACCCAAGAATAAACTCAAAATGGATTAAAGACTTAAATGTAAGACTCAAAATCATAAAACTCCTAGAGGAAAACAGAAGCAATAAAATCTCTGACATTTCTCTTACTAATCTATCATTTTCTGATATAGTTCCTTGAGCAAGGGAAACAAAATAAAAAATGAACAAATAGGACTACATCAAACTAAAAAAGTTTTTTGCACAGAAAAAGAAATCATCAACAAAATGAAAAGACAACCCACTGAATGGGAGAACATATTTGCCCGGGGCTGTGTTCTCAGTGGTTAGAGCCCTGGCCCAAGCACCAAAGGGTCTTAGGGTCTTGGGTTAGATTCCCCTAGGTTTCAGATTCAGTGCCTGGCCCTGGTCCCGGCACATGTGGGAGACAACCTATCGATGTGTCTTTCTCACATCGATGTTCTCTCTCTCCCCATCCCTCTATCCCTTCCACTCTCTCTAGGGATCAATGGAAAAGCTGGCATGCACATTTGAAAGTTAATGGCAACATATCTGAGAAAGAGGCAGAAGCACCTAGAAGAAAGGATGTTACAACAGGATCAGGTAAGTCTTGCTTGTAGCTGTTGCCATGTTATAAGTCTGTGTCCCTGGTTCTGTCTGCTGTTAACAGTGAGTCACTCATTTTTTATTTATTTTTTAATATGTTCTCATTGATTTCAGAGAGAGGGAGAGGGAGAGAGATATAGAAACATCAATGATGAGAGAAAA